TTAAGATTATAATAATTTAATTTTAAAGCACAGCCACCACAAAAACAGACTTACTTTGAGATCATTCTGAGGTTAAATAGAAAATAAAGATTTAAAACCATCACAAGAAATAGTTTGTAGCTGTGCTGTTTTTGAAATCAAATCTCTGCATAGCTGACAGGAAACACCGGCATCTAACAATGGCTTGGAAAAAAACAGTTAATCTTCAAAAATAAAGTATAGGCCTATACACAAACCCATCGAAAAAGCATGTGTCCAATTATTTATGTCATATTTTAGAGCAGTCACTGCAATTTATCAAAGAAATCAATTAAATCGGTATGTGGGTGTGTGTGTGGGGGGGGAAAGAACAGATGTAACCCCCTTTGTAATCGTTAACATTTTCATAAGTAACTGTAATTTAATTACACATTTTTTTCTCAGTAACTGTAACCGAATACAATTACATTTATTTTGTAATTAAATTATGTAATTTAGTTACATGTAACTAGTTACTCTCCAACACTGACTGGGAATGGTTGCTTATATTATGAGAATATGTTGGGAAGTATGGTAGGCTATATTATAAACGTACCTATTATATATGAAAAATACACAATCCGCAAATGTAAATGGGTATCACAAAAAATATAAAAATACTTTTACACATTTACAAATAAAAATAGGTCACCAACTTTATACTTGAACAGCAACAAGAAATAACAAAGACTAAAAAAGACTGAAAAGCCTTAAATCTGTCATTTGATTGATTTATTGATTTGCATTGCACAACGTGTAATGCTATTTGCTTATAAAGTTTGTAGACTATTTTCAGTCTTTTTGATTCTATTAATTTTCTTATGCGTCAGTAATTTGCTATGATTGTTTTTCATGTTTTCTTACTAGGCTACGTGTTCATAGTTCAAAATTCTGAAATAAAAAATATACCAAACTAAACCTTTAAAAAAAAATCAAGAAAATAAATAAATATGTAAGCACAAACCCAGTGTCTTTCTCCTCTGTAAAAAGTGCTGTAATCTTTTTGCAAGCACCATATAGGCTACACTTATAATCTTCTGTAAATGTATCATTTACAAAAGTGTATTGCTCATAGGGTTTTGTGCTGTTTTCTTGTTGTTTCGTGTGCATTGCATTACTGTTCTTCAATTTATCCTCGGCATCTGATGTTTCATGAGACCGTTTGGTTCAGTCAAAAAAGTGTGTGTTAGTGTTGACAGACACCTATCAAACATTGACCAGAAACCTTCATATGAACACACACACACACATTCTAACTCATAGTTGCATTGGAGGAGCTTTGAACTGCTACTCCAGCAAATATTTTAAAAATCATAATCCTATACAGAAAATACACATAAGTCCTAAATTTGTGTTTGTTTATTTTCTCTCGTTATTTTTGATGAACATTAATGTCTGTTATATTTTTTCTGTAGCCTATAGCTTTTCATATCTATGATCTAGGATGTTTGAATTCTGTTTTAAACTCAATTATTCTTTTGTGTATTTCAATATTCATTGCTTTTCATACAATACTTGTGACCCTGATTAATGATTGACTGAAACAAAATCGATACCAGCAGGGGCCAGTTGCATAAACATAGACACTATGTTAAGACTGTGTCTTAAGAACTAGTTTGACCAACTAGCAGCTAGCCAAGAGATAATCAGTCTCACTTTTCTGATTAAAATTGGGCCAATCTACATTTTTGTTACTGACTTTAAACAGTTATGACCAGTCTAGAACAAAACAAATTAGATGGCTAACTGGCCACCAGATACCAGAACTTGAGACACATACACTGTGTGTTATGATTAGTTATGTCACTTTGGAATGTAAAACAATAAACAAACAAAAAACATAGGTATCTTACATATTTGCTCTTTGGCTGTGTTGTGTGGAGAGAAAGACCACCCATTCGTTTCCTCCCCCCAAACTGTCCACATACAGAACCTGCTGCCGCTTCCAGCTACTGTCATCCTTTACCACAGATCCCTGCATTGATTGATATAGCTCGTAATGTGGTGCAGTAGAACAGCGCTCGGGAGACTGCGGAGGATCGCCCCGTGTACCGTCACCGGATTTCATCGCGCAATGTCCACGTTACCGAAGGTGTATGTGACGCGCAAGGTGCCGCCGGACGGACTGGACATCCTCCGCGAATCCGGACAGTAGGTTGTCACCAACTAGTTTCATAAAATGTGTTCCACGGTTATTATTTACCATAAGTGTATTATTTGAACTTTGTATTATTTGGCCCAAAGTTTATCATTAGATTTCGAATATTGATGGTATTGTAGGATAAGGTTTAATTTGTTGACATTATAGCCTAGTTAAAAAAAATACTTCTGCCATTTATTAAGCTTTAACATTTATTAATACTATTTAGATCAAAAGTTGTATCTGTTAACATAGATTATGCACTCTGAGCTGACATGACTGAATAATTTTAGCTTATACATTTACAAAGGTTAATAAATGCTATGAAAATAGGCTATAGCATATTGTTCATTGCTAATGCATGTTATTTAATGCATTAACTAGACCTTAAGTGGGTTACACTTTATTTTATGGTGTCCTTGTTGCAGTGTAATTATACATTTAAGTAGCCAACTGAGTAATATTAATTAACTACATATGGTTAGGGTTAGGATTAGGGTTTAGTTTAGGGTTACTTACATGTAATTAGGCATAATTTATTGTTATAGTAATTACATGTTACATGTATAACAAGGACAACTTAAAATAAAGTGTTACCAAAAACTACTACCAAAATCTCTCTGCCAAAGTAAAGGTGCTGCCACATTTAACCTTGTTTGGTAACTTTTCGCTGTCAAAATGGAATCGTGCCATCAGGAATTTCACTTAATAGTAAATATGTCTTTGCTTGGGTTAAAGTAGAAATTGGCTTTTGTTTAGTTTGTGCTTCATACCTTTCTAGACAGACATTGGGCCTTGTGTCTGCGAAATTTTGCAGCGACATCGCGATTCAAATCTGGTGATTCAATCATCTTGAATAAAACGTTGTAGGCCTACTCTAATCTAGTTTCTATTTTAATTCATATATCATTACATGTAAGATGGACACAGGCAAGTTTAGCCAACCAAGACCATAATAAGGTAAATATTTTCTAAACCAAAGATTTGTTCAACAACTTCCAACTAGAACCTCTGCTCAACTGAAGATACTGCAAGAAACAAAGTTAATAAAAAACTTGTGACCAACTGGCTGAGCATTCACATTCTGAACATTAGTCATCTGGGATATCAGACTCATTTCTATACAGATTTACAAACATATAAGTGAATAAAAATGCCATTTTTGGGGTCAAAGAAAACAAAAAGTCTATGCATTATGATGATTTGCCATTTTAGTTTAATTTGTTTTGGGAGTTTGTGGGCTTCTACTTTTCAGTAGCTCAGTTTATGGAGATTCAACTGAGTCAAATACATGTAAATCATTGAACTGCTTTTTTCACATCTTTCTCTCACTCTCCAACCTTCTCTTAATTCAACCCACACAATCCCAGGGTGCAGTTTG